ATGTGTTTTGACTGAAAAACAAGAGTACTGCATTCTGCACAGTATTTATTGCTTGTTACCTATTATTTAAAACAAAAGCACGGAAAACACTATAGTATTCACCAATATTATTTTTTTGCATTCTTAATACAATCTTGTAAGAAACTCTTATGGTAGTGCAATCAAATAATAAGTGAAGAAGATGATGTTAGAAATCATATTACACAGTGAACTTTCGGGCAAATGTAGATGTTCATTAAATTAATACATGCATACAGAACATTGTTAATGTATATGCACTGCATAGTGCTAAGCGAGTATTATTTTTATGGTCGTATAATGTTAGATATGTATGTGTGTACCTGGAAGAAGGCACAGTCTGAGCAATGCCTCCAGAGGCTCTCAGAACGAGGCTTGTTGTGACAGTATTTCTCATAAATCTGCAGCTCCCCCATCTAAACAACCACAATTACCAAAGATCTGAGAATCGCTGAGAGAAAAAAAACTCCCAAAAAAGTTCTTCATAATAGTTTACTTCGTGTTTTGTTTTCTTGCTAGTTATATAAAACTCACCCAGTCCAGAAAGCAGCGGCCCACAAGCTCAGGGCAGTCAGTGTAAGTTTCCAGCTCTTTGAGGAATATTCTGAGACAGAACAAGACAGACATGGGTTCAAATGAATATTGAATTGTTTATTTGATATGATTGATGTATTTTATTACTCTCCAGATAATTTCAGAAAGGAAGAGCTGGCATGCCCCCCAGATCTTCCTTTACTATTAACCTCTTCACGAATCACCACTAGATGGCGCTTACCTTTTGTGGAAATTATAAATTTCCTGCATGTTCCCAAATAACACATCCTTCTTGTTTTGCAGGGCTGCAGGGATGAGAGGAGCCATGGAGGGGTTGTCCATCTCTGCAGCATATCCCTATAACACATGTAATGAGGGCATATCATGGCAAACAGGATTTTCATGGCTCTTTTAAAATCAAGAGTTTGATGTAGACTTGCTCTAACATTCACAACACACATCCACCTCCTAAATCCAAGTGGTCTTTATAGGCCAAAACCTGCTACAAAAGTGTAGGACATGTCCTACATATTTCAGAATATGTTTCAAAATATTTTCTTGATGGAAGCTGATTTTCATTTATGAAAGAACTGACCGTTTTTCACTCACCTGCAGAACACACATAAGCTCTTCCACATATGCTCTTTCTGTTTCTAGTAACTCATTCATTACATGCCTGTGAACAAACACACACACACACACACAATGAAGCTCAGTTAATGACTACGCTACAGGGGGTCTAGTAAGGCACATGTGTTCCCCTCATTCCTCTTTGACCTTTGACCCTGGACTGACCTGCGCAGCACAGCCAGGGTTTCCTCCTCCTCAGATACAGAAG